TTCTAAGAAGTGGCTTGAAGTTCTACGGGAGGTGGGCTTCATTGCTAGTCCGCTAGGATGGTCAATAAAAACAGCTAGATCTAGATCCTAGGTTCTAAGAGTAGGAGACTAAGACCTCACTAAAAATGAGGTCAACAGGTATTAGAGCCAAATTTTTGTTTTAACTATCTATAGTCATTGGAGGACTGTCAAGGCTCCCTTCCCGCCGGCCTTTTTGCTGGACAGGAAGGAACTATTTTTTTGCCTTAATTCTTGCTCGTCTACTCGTCGTCTCATTATTTCTTCGCCTGCGTCGTCTTCGTTCTACTTCGTCTTCCTCTTCGACTCGACCAGTCACGATAGAGCCTCTCCTTCGTTGGAACTCCACCCCCAGTGGCTCCCGCTTTTGACATGGTATCAGAGACCTAGCCTACCGCCTCCGGCCTCTCGCTCGATCCGTGGATCTTCGGCGCCGTCCTAAAAATCATGAAGTAGTCCCAATTAAGGACCGGGATTACGTAGCATGCAATGCGTCATTCTCAAAGCTTCGCGATTAGGGCCCGAGATCGTGAAGTAGCAGCGACACGATGAGCAGGATCGAGACTGGCGTCCTGGCGAAGCGGTCCAGATGAAGCAATCGTGGTTGGAGCTAACAAAGTAGTTATGGAGGTTGCCACTACCTTAATACCTTGCCATTTAGCTTTGTGGAGGTTGCAAGGACAACATTATTGTTAGATTTTAGTAGTTTTCGGATGGAAAAAAAAAAATGTATTTACTAATAGCTGGGAGAGGAATTAGATTCCGTAGACACAGAATGTGAGCGACTTCTATTTATGTCTTTTGTTGCAGCCTTGGCTGTTGCTGAAGAAATTAATCTAGTTACTTTTTTTTAGTGGGTGAAATCTTTGGTTTAATGACTACATTATGGACTCCGAAGCACTGCGATTGCTACCAACATTAGAAGTTATCTTTTTGGAACGTCAAATCCAATTGTCAAAATGAAAATTAGTTACGGAAGAATTCTTCTAGTTTCATTAGAGAAAAGTGTCAAAATGGTCCTCTAATTTTTTGTAAAGAGTCATTTTAGTCCCAAAGTCTATAAAAGTGACAAATTAGTCCCTAGACTCCTTTACTATGACCTTAAATGGAGCCTCCATTAAAAGAGTTTGGAGACTAAATTGATACTTTTGTAGACACTGGTAATAAAATGACCCCACCCTATATGATTAGTCAGGGACTATTTTGACACACTTTACTCAGTTTCGTTATAAGCTCAACATAAAATATGCATTCCCAAATTTTATTGCATTTGAGGCCTCAACTTCCTACTCCTTAAATGGTTGCTTCTTTCACTCATGGCTTTATTTTGCCTATTGGCAGGGAATAAGCACATATGACTACATAGTAGCTTTAAGGGAACAGGAGCAGCAAGGCAATAGTGTTCAACAAAGCCCTCAAATGTCTCCAGTGAGTTCTGTCACTGGATTAAGCAGCGGTAGTTCGTTTAATGCTTTTCGTCGCGCAGCTTGGTGTACTCCTCCACGGCTATTTCTTGAGGATCAGGTACGTTGTACCTATTGTTTAGGATTTTATGATATTACCATTATTCAAGGTATTATTGTAATTATGGTAATATTTATGTATTTTCATGATTATATGGCAATCTTTTTTCAAAATATTGTGGCGCATTTACGTACATACCACCTAATTCTATGTATTTACATATCTAACACCTAAAATTTAGTTTTTACATTTATGCAGCCCAAATTTATTCATATCACATAAAAATACCATCAAAAGTGAATACACATTTCCGTGCATGGGTAAGGTGGCATGTATGTAAGAATTGAAGTTTAGCTATTAGATAGGTAGGTATATAGGAATTGAGTGGTATGAATGTAAATCTTCCAAATATTATTAGTTATCAGCTTTCTTTTGAGCAGGCATTAAATTTAGATTAGTGTGGCATCACATGAAATGTCTTGCAACTAGCCAAAGTTTTTAAGGCTCTTTTAACCTTAATACAACTAGGCAGCCGTGTTATGCATTTCTAGTTAATATACAGGATGATTTACATACATACCACTCAATTCCTATATAATTGTAACACCTGAACTTCAACTTTTACATACATTTTCGTATGCATGAAAAGGTATATTTCACTTTTAAAAGTTTTAAAAAATGGTATTTTAATGTGATATGAAAGACTTGTGTGGTATAAATGTAAAAAGCAAAGTTTAGATGTTGGATATGTAAATACATAGGGATTGAGTGGTATGTACGTAATGTTCCTAAAATAAAATAATTAACAATGAGTGGCTTGTTGGAATTTGTGTGATTCATAGTTCTATAATTAATAAGGTAGCATTCATGTAGCGTTCCAGGATTTGGAGCTTTTAAGTGGAGGTATCAGTAGAAAATCCATTCTGGAAATGAAATCAATCAGTTCAAACTATGCTGGAAGGGAGGGGGTAGTAGTGGTAGCAGAAACTTAAATTTTTTTTGGGGACTTTTGTTTTGGTTTATGTTAATTAGAGGTATTTTTCTGCGTTTTCTTTTGTTTGGAATGTTGTAGCCTATTCTTCTTCAAGTGATGTGTCTGAATCTTGAAGAGAATAGGTGGTGGAACTTTCTAATGTCCATAATTCTCTTTGAGTAGAGATGAAGTTGGGGGTGGCCCCATTATTTATCAACACAACTACATCCTGCTCTCCGATCTACCCTTGAAGTTTCATAGTGGTTCAATGTTAATCCCACCACCAAATTTGATCAGATTTCTCCCACATCCAAGTGAGGGTGTTCCTCCACCACAACCTTCTTTGTTTCTGCATCTCCTGCCTCCTTATCACACGTGAGACTCTATAATATCCGATCATTGCTATTCTGTCATAGGGAAAACTTCTCATCACATCAAAAACATAACCTCTTGGCTCGTTTCTTCTGAATTTCTGTCTCTGTAAGACATTTGAGTGTCGTCTCCAGTCATGGCCCTTTACTTCTGTCCTGTAGAGCCTCCCTCTGGACTTTCACTGTTTGAGCTTTTGCTATAGTTGTGGTTGTAGTAGTTCGATATGGCAATCCACTCGTGCTGCTCTTAATAGCCCATTTCATTTTTTATCTTCAACTAGCTGTACTAATTCTATCATTTCCCCAAGTTCTCATGATCTTAGCAGTCGAAGTGATACTCGACTCTCTGGCGTCAACTTTTCATTAGGTTTCCTTCCAACAATTCTTTTTATATCCCTCTCAAATGACCGAATAACATCTCAAATTTCTCTCTATACTCCATGATAGATCCTTCCTAGACCAATGCAAAAAAATGCTTGTGTAAAGTCCCTTCTTATGTGGTTTTGAAGCGTTCCTACAATCAGACGTTGAATTTTTCCCATGTCTGGATTGGCTGACGTTGTTCTCTCCATTGATACCAAGTTAGAACCTTTCTTTCCAAAAACAGAGCCGTCCGATACCGGAGTTAACCCAAACTATGACTCAAACACAACTATATTTTTTTTGCTGAAATTGTAAAAGAGTACAAGGAGGCTTTTTAACCAGCAAGGACTCAAAAACAACAAACATGAATACATAAACAATAAAACAAACATACAAACAATAAAACAAGATAGTGACTGCAGAAAATAGGCTTAAGAACAAATTAGAAGGCGACTGAAAAGCCACTGAGGCGACTGGGGAGTAGTTAGCGGCAGTTGGACTTTCGTCAGGGAGACCTGCGGTGACCGGAGGAGTGTTGGGATGTGACTGCGAAGTGGCCTGGTAAGATCTTGAAGTACCTACTACTAGCTGTAAGCGGTGTAGGACGAAGGGTTGCGCTTAGCAGAGGACTGCTTGGTAATTGAAAGGGCTGCTGCGGATAAGAGACCGCGAGAATGAAAGACAGCGCCTGGGGGAGTTGCGCAAGCCTGGAGTTGGAGGGAGGATGATACCGTAAGGAGGAACGGAGTGGGGATACACACCACCTTTGTGGGATACAGTCGTAGCACCACGCCGCCGAAGGATATAGCTCTTGATTAGAGGGAACACTAGGGACAACACTTGAAATCAGAATCACAAGGAAAAAAAAATTGCTTAGACATCAGAAAAAGACATGCATAAATAGAGGAGGGAGGGAAGATCGCAAATGCAAGATCTTGAGAAGGAAATATGTGATGAATGGAAGGTTTGCAATGGCTAGGAGGAGGAAGGTTAGGTAACGGGGGGAGTGGGCGTAAGATTAGGGCATGGGGCGAGTGAAGCATGTGATGCGGGATGGGGTAGGGCGAGCGAATAAGATGGATAGGCATTTTAATGCCGAGGACCGGTCCGATCCAGCGTGAATGGTTGGATTGGCTTGCTCCAAGTCGCGCTGATCCAACTCGCTGAACAAGGGGAGCGTCCTGCATCGCAGTCACTATCAATTTTTCTTTCACTTTTAGCCTATTAACAAAAAAATCTCTCCACACGATAAAAACAACCATAAGAATCATCTCTTTCAAAGATCAACATCTTCAACTTCCTCATGCATTAGTTTCCCCAATTTCCTTGATCGAGGTTCATTCTACTTTTGGGGTTCCTTTCCTCTACCTTTATTTCTTTCTCCTCTTCCATAAGTCTGGCGCGACCCATAATAACCTCACTGGTCTTAATAAGCTCCATAATTGTCTTATGCCTAGAAGGTTACTGCAAGAAAAAACACTGGTGCGGTTGGATGCAACCATATGTCGGGGTCCCACTGACCATGGTTCGCTATTTTTTGTCGAATTCTTTCAAATTGATCTTCTCTTGCCTTAGAATTGTCTGTCGTCCCATTTTGTCCATTGCCTCTCGTTCTAGAAGTCTGGATGTCGTGCCATTCCTAGTGCTTGAGTTTGCTTACCATTCCTTCACCCAATCTCACAGTTCCAGGTCCACCTAAGATAGCGATGTTGGCCTATTGTTGCGTGAATTCTTCTGATTGTTGTCACTCACTTTCGTTCCAGACACCGTCACTTGATCCTGCTGTAGGCGGAGGTTTTGCTTGAGACTCCACAACATTCTTTGTCTTTTATTCAAGAGTTGTGTATCTCACCTTCAACCTTTCCTCCAGGGCTAAGAAACGCTCATATATTTCAGATCTCTTCATCCACTAATTTTTCCTCCAAAGAGTTTGCTTTTTTTGGCCTCTATTTTCTCCGAGTGATTTGGAAATTTCTTTATGTTGAAATGATGAGATTTAGAATTTATGAACGCAGGTTCAACATGCACGAAGTTCTGGACGCCATGATCCCAAAATTTCTGTGCGTGGTTTGGTGAAACTATTGAAGCTGTACAGAACTTCGGAGGCCCTAATCCAAACTCTTGAACGTCACAAATCCTGATCACGAGATTCTGTCATAAGCAATGCAAACTCCGTCATGCCACAATCCCGATTTCGTATTTCAATCAAGAGATGCGTGAAACTCTTGTACACCACAATCCGTTTTTTGTATGTCACGATCCTACGCGGTGGCTTCCCCATGACTGTGGCAGTGAAGTTCGGTCCCAAAGGAGTGCTAGCACGTTATGATCTTTTTGGCGGCCTTCTCAGCTACCTCTAATTGCACTATCTCGTGAGGTTTGGCTGCTGCGATCCCCTCCATTCCATTATCTCCTATAGAGACTATTGCTAGCTTAGGTTGCAAACATGGGTTCTGTCTATTGCGATCTTGTCTAACGGCTTCTTAGCTAGGCCAAATAGCGAATGTGCTCTATGCCACGAACCTATGCGACTGCGACAAATCGGTGAGATCGGGCGCTGTTCTGTAGGCCACGATTCATCTTCCTAGTCATGACTAAACCATGAGGTTGAGTGCCGAAGGAGATGGTATGCCGCAATTCCATTGTTATTTCCCTATTAGCTCTAGTCGCGACTGTATCACGAGGTTCGGTGCCAGAGGCTACGATGCATCGAGATTCCACTGTTGTTTCCCGGTTAGCTTTAATCGCGTCTATATTGCGAGGTTTAGTGCCGAAAACTACGGTATGTCGCGGTCCGGTTGGGATGGTGGAGGCTTCGGACCCTGCTAACTCTTCTCGCGACTATATTGAGATTCCGTGTTTTTGACCCTTATCCGATCTTTTGTATGTTCTGCTCGTCTTCCACGGTTGGTATGGCGATTAGAGCTAATAAAAAATAAAATTGCCCTTAGACTAATAAAAAACAAGATTGTCTTTACGCTAGGCACCGACTTAAGTCTTCTAGGAACTAAGAAGGATATGCTAAAATAAAATCTGCATTAATATAAAGAAATAAACTCTATAATTGGAAGATTTTCATACATTCCACACAACTCCTGTCATCCTATGTATATTCATATTTAACACTTAAAATTTAAATTTTACATTTATAATACTTGAAAAGATGTACTTCATTTTTTAAGATTTAATAATTGTTGTATTTTTTGTGTGAAATGAAAGTTTTGAGCGTTATATATAAATAAATATAAATTGTGTGGTATGTATGTAAATGCCCCAGTAGAATTTCATCAATAAAGCTGACTTCAAACATGGCTTCTACTTGTGTTTCTTAACAGGCATTGTATCTTCTTAGCTTGCTGTTTTCTCCAATGGAGATAAACAACTGCAGTTCTTATTTTCATATATTTAGAATCTTCTTTTTATGCAAAAAAATTGCTATGTCAAAACCTTGTCTTTAGTATTTTTTAGTAGGATGATTTACATACATACCACTCAATTTTTACGTTTTTATATATCAAACATCTAAACTTATATTTTTTACATATATGCCACCTTAACTCTGCACGAAAATGTATATTTCACTTTCTAAAATTAAAAATAGTGATATTTTTGATGTGATATAAACCATTTGATTGGTATTAATGTAAACAAGTAAAGTTTATGTATTAGATTTGTAAAAACATAAGAAATGGGTGGTATGTATGTAAATGCCTCTTTATAGTATACTTAGGTTGAATAAGATTGTAAGCTCATTTCCCTATTCCAGTTTGATGTTGTTCCTCAAGAAACAACAATGGCCACCCATTTTACTGGAAAGAAAATAATCTCAGAGGAATCCAGGAGAAAAAACGCCAATGCAGTAAAGATCAATCCATGGACTCTCGCGCGGCTCAATGCGGAAGAGGTTTCAAAAGTGGCGGCGGAAGCTCGGAAAAGATCGAGAATCTTAAAGCCAATAGTTAGACACGACCTGCCGTCAACAGGGCCGGAAACCGACAGCAGCTTTGGAAGCGACAGCGGTAGGTTCGTCCCCAGGATCGAAAACTGGAGGTCGAATGCCGACCGTCCCGTTGCAGAATTAACTTCCAAAACCAGCAGGGGAAACTGGACGTACGAGAAATCTGGCAAGTTGGCGCCGCTTCAGCTTGAAGCGAGGAGCGCCTTCACAACGAGCAAAAGCTTGTCGGCTTCGGGGATCGCTGCATTCTCGCCCGATAGCAGTTTAGGCTCGCCCGACATCCACCTGGTTCACGTCTCGTCTTCGGCGGCTGAAGACAGTGGGGGACCCAAGCTGCTTCCATCTTCAGGCACGTCTGTATATGGTGGAATTCAGCTCTCGAGATCTACCAGTGATGGTTACGACGCCTCCGGGGGAGAAGATAGTGATCAGCTTCCTTCAGGAATCATACCAAGAGCTGTCAACTGGAGCAACTTGCTCGTCAACGCAGAGCGAGCGAGCATGGCAAATGAACACAAGGTTTCATCTTCATTGGAAGGGATGCGAGTTAGGCGTTAACAACTTGAATGATGGTCTTGTTCAGAGTAAAGGGCTAAAATAGTTTACCCACTATTTATGTGGTGTTATTTTAATCCTAGAATTTATAAAAATGTCAAATTAATACCCAAACTCTTTTAATATTGGGCTAAAATGGATTATGTAAGTTTTCTTTAAAATAATTTGGGGATTAAATTGACATCTAGATAGACTCTGGGAGGAAAATAGCTCCCTGTAAAAAGTCAGAGGTTCATTTTGACATTTCTCCTATTGTTTCAAGTTGTTTTTAATCTTTTTCATTATTGTCTCAGGTGAATTTATCTTGTTTTTGAAAATTGGTAGGATGTAATTCATTAATGATGTGGGCATCAGAACTGCTGGATATATTTCTATTATTTAGTTTCACTTTTTAAGTGTTAAGACTGTTTCTCTTCTGTTTTAGGAAGATTTACATGCATATCACTCATTTCTCATGTCTTTACACATGTTAAGCACCTAAACTTCAATTTTTACACACATGCCATCTTACACATATGCATGACAAGTTATATTTCACTTTTTGAAAGATGAAATAGTGATATTTTTTATGTGATCATAAAGATTTGGGTGGTATAATTGTAAAATCAATGTTTAGGTGTTAGATATGTTAATACATGGGAATTGGGTGGCATGTATGTAAATGCTTTTTTTTCAAGAATTGTGTGATGTTTGATGATGAACTGCAGCAACCTTGAATCTAGGGCTGTCGAAACATTTTTGTTCAGTTCATTAAGTAGCTCGTGTTTAACATGAAAATTTTTAGCTCTAGATATAAATGGGCTGAACAAAAACAACTGTGTTTCTTAATGGGCCGAGATGAGGCCGAGATTGATGTGGTGGACATCAACCCTTGATGTGAGTTATATAATCCAAAAATTTTGCATGCTATTCTCTTGTTTTTCTGTTCTAATTTTTACAGTAATTAATTAAAAAAAACCTTCGTTTTTTTAGGGATTTATTTTAGTTTCATTTTTTTTTTCTAATGTTTTATTTAGTTGATAACTCATCAAATCTGAATTAATTTAATTCTGCTGCTAATTTGTGTAAATAATTATAAAAAAATTGGAGGGGAAGTTTGTAATGAGTGAATTTAAAGAATAATTATTTAATTTAAACTGATATTAAGTAGTAAGAATGATCATAAACAGGTCACCCATTTTGTTCCATTTACTGACAGTTTATATGATAAGGCTAAAATTGGAAGTTTTGATTTATATACATAAAAAGCCCTCGGGATCATTATATATTTTTGGGGCATTTAAGTATATACCACACAATTATTATATATTTATATGCCCAACACCTAAACTTTGCTTTTTTACATTTCTAACCCCCAAATCTTGCTTAAAAATACCGCCATTATTGTAATTTTAAAATAGTTAAATAAGCCTTTTTATGCATAGGCATATTGAATTTTAGGTGTTGGATATGTAATGCATATGAATTGAGTGGTATGCATGTAAATATTTTTAAATTTTAATTATCTGTCACAAACATTTTGTGGCAATAAGGCAATATTATGTACACAAATAAATTGCATTTTGCAGATGCAACCTTTACAAACTAATTTAAAGCCTGAAATTCAATTCTGCAGAGTAAAATTATTGAATTGTAATAGGCGCCCAATATATTTCTTCTATACTTATATTTGGATAATCACATGCAAGGCCATTCGAAAAATTAATATTTACAAATTAACTTCAAAATGTTATAAATGTAAATATTGAACTTTATGGTGTTATATCTATAATTTTCAGTATTTAGAGTTCTTATGTATCCTGATGCAAATCAGCCAAGGAACAATGAGGAAAATTGCCAAATAAGTCAATCCATATATACAATAATTTACCGTTCTATAAACTCTCTTTACATCTCAGAGCATCTGTACATTCCTTCAGAACCATCCGAAACATCAAATTTTCAAATCACCCCTCCCCTGTCCTTCAAATTTTGCATATTTCACCAGCAATTCATACCTGCAACTCTTATAAAAGCAGCAGCTGATGATATTATCAACTACACCAAAAATAGAATAAAGATAAATTATTGTCAAAGCCTCAAAAACAAGAGACAGATCAAAACTTCCATTTTGATTATATATTTTTATCACTCTGATCTGAAACAATCCTTCAATTGCAGCCATGCCCAGATTTGAACAGAGTGCAAGAAATAAAGCTACTGCAGCTCTCCCTCTGATCAAAACACAAGCTTTCAGCACTGCAGTGTAGCCATTACAGTTCTCCATTGCTGCAACAATGGTGGCAAGGTTGCAGATCACCAATACGTTCGCGACGGTTGTTGAGTATATAACGGCGGCGATGCCCGACAGAATGAAGAGGGAGCTTGTGGAGGTGAGGCCGAGCTCGTCGACGACGAAGAAAGCTATGAGAAACATGGAGAAGACGGCGACGTTGGTGGAGAGGATGATGAAGCGGGTGAAGAGATGGGTGAATAGAAGAGGGGGGTAAAGGTGGAGGATTGAGGAGAGGGAGGGGGAGGGGGTATGGCGAGGGAGCTCGCCGGCCGCGAAGATGATGGTAGCTTTGGAGAGAGTGAGGAAGGTGAGAGTGAAGGGGAGAGCGAAGAGGAAGGAGAGGATTGTTTGTGAGAGCTTGAGGCTGATGATGTCGAAGAGGGGGGAGTTGAGAGGAAAGTTGGTGGCTTTGAAGACGGAGAGGAAGCGGTGAGAGACGGCGGTAGGGAGGGAGGAGGAGGAGGAAGAAGGTGGTGATGAAGGAATGAGGGAGGCGGACAGGAGAGTGGCGGCGGAGTAGGGGAAGATGAGGATGGTGGCGAGGGAGGCAAAGGTGTGATAGTTGCAGAAGAAGGAATAGATTGAGGCTCTTATGAGCTTGATAGAGTTGTCCATGGCTGTGGGAGAGGTTTGGGGAAGAAGAAGGGGGGAAGGAGATGGGATTTGGAGTAAAAGAGAAATTTTGATCATATATATTGATTTGAATTTGGGGTTTGTGGGGGTCTTGGATTGGTTATGGGGGAGTTTTTGGATTGTGGGGGTAGATGAATGATAGGCCAACTACTGATGAGCTAACAAATATATGTATTGGAATTGAAGGCATGATTTTTACTAGTGTGGGAAAAAAATGAATTTTTATGATGGGGAATTCATGAATATGCCACTTGATCTTATTTATTCATATATCTATTATCTAAACTTATATATTTTGATAGATAACACTAAAATCTCTATTTTTACGTTAAAAGTGCCATCATTTTTTTTATTTCAGAGACTATTGAATCTTTTAATATAAAATCATGTTTTTAGGAGAAATATATTGAAGAAATGGTGGATGCAGTGCTAAAACTCCTGTTTCTTACTTTATATATTTTCTATTTTTTCAGAGAGAGTGAGAGAACGTCTCATAAGTCCTTTCGATCCCTTGACCCGATGACCTCTATTTTATACATGAGAGAAAATAAATACTAAATTACGCCTCATACGGTACTATGCCTGTCCACAACGACTCAATGAAAAACTTGAAATGTGGGTCTCAGAAAAAGTCATAAATTAGGATAGACTCATGTATTCTTATATAATGATGATTTTCTCTAATGACGGGTTTGCCCCATACTAGTTTGATTGCTTGGGCAGGTGAACTTAGCCTGATTTGTTGATATGAATATGACCTTATTTTGGTTATATGGAGACTTACCTCCCAATTCCTATGTATCAACATATCAACCACCTGGACTTTTGCTATGTTAATACATAGGAATTGGTTGGGGGCCATTTCATGAATTAGCTTATGTTGCAATTTCTGATATATCTAAATATCAAATTGTGTATTTTTAAAAATAAACATAAAAAAATTTAAAAATTTATAGTTATTATTATTATTTCTTCTTAAGTATATATCTATCTCCAAACGGTCAAAATTCATTTAAAATCAACTCCTATGTATTTTTACTTGGGAGATTTTGCATGCATATCACTTATTTCCTATGTATTTACATATCTAACACCAAAACTTCAATATTTACACATCTACCACTTTACTAAGCACGAAAACCCGTGTTTCACTCTTTCAAAGTTAGAAGTAGCATTTTGATGTCATATGAAATATTTCGAATGGTAAAAATGCAAAAAATCAAAGTTTAAGATAAGCTAATACATATGATTTGGGTGGTATATATGTAAATGTTCCTTTTTCCCTTAATTCCAAATGGTTAGGTGTTTTGAATTTGGTTGCAATAAAATAACGAGTGATAAATAATGTCTTCTCTTACAAATGAGACTATTCTTTTATTATACGTTTCTTATTTTAATTTATTTTTAATGACGCTCTTAGCAAGCCGGCCGTTTACCTAATTAGTCTTAAAGCTTAACCAAATATTTTTAAACTTAATTAATTAGCGCGTGGTGTCTATTGGGTAGATTTGTAAGAAGTTATGCCTCAAGGAAACGCGGCTGTAATATTAATTGTTTAAATGATATACTCCCAAAATCATAGGTTTAAAATAGTATAAGGATTCATACAAGCTCTTAATAGTCTAATTCAAGATAAATTTATAGGGTTAATTCCATACAAACCACTCGAAACATTGATATTTGCAAATTAACCGTGCAGGTGCTTTGTTTTTTTGAAGTACCGAACCGATGTATTTATATCTGTCATGATCGAACTAATGAGAATTTGATAAAAATGAAAGATATGGGTTGAGGTTTTACGATGAATTTTGATGTTTGAGTGAGAATTTGAAAAATGGATGGAAGAGGTTGGTTTATTTGTAAATAGTATGTTTAGGGTGGTCCAAGATGACTCTCATTTATAGTATCTAATTTATTTTAGAGGCAAATTTCTAAATTTTGACATTTTGTTGGATGAGAATATAAACCAAATTTATAAAGTATCGTCGACCGTTGCCACAAACATTTCTACCTACTTTATGTCAAATATAACATAAGAAATCAACACAACATTTCCTGTAAATTGCTTGAATTGCGCATTTCTCAATGAAATAATATATGGGAAGAACCTAAATTCAAATTTTTTGGTCCAAATGATGACTTAGGGTCCGTTTGGGGCAGTTTATAAGTGCGGGCGGCGTTTTCAAAACGTCGCCGTACCGTTTGGTTCGCACTTTTCACCAGTTTATCAGAAACTGCGTTTGAGTTTTTATACTAAACGCAGACCGCGGGTCGACCTATGCGGCCGGCCCTTGAGCCGCGTTTCAGAATAAACAGTTTATCCTGAAACGCACAGGTGCCCCAAACGAACCCTTAAAAGTAATCAAGTTTAGAGATAAAGCGGAATATCATAATTGCACTTTTGGGTAGGAATTAATTTACTCAAAAGTCTTTAATGAAGATACATTTATATATTTTTCTTATAAAAAAAGGGTTCTTTCTTTGAAGGCAAGGGAAATCATGTGTAATTTAGGGTTGTTGGTGTTCGACTTATTTATAATTCGAGCTTAAGAAATTTATCCGTGTTTGGCTTGCTTACTTTACGAACGATTCGAGCAAGAGCTACTTAATGAGTCGAACATGAGCTATTCATGAACAACGAGTTTTTTTAACAGCCGTAGTGGCATATCACAATCCCTTTCAATGTCTCTTAAAGATCATTGTGATGTCATTTTACTTTTTATATAAGTGCGCACATCATATATAACACGCATAATTTATGTATTTATATACCTAAAATTTAAAATTAAGACGAAACATTCATGTACACATAAGACGTGTGGATTGTGTGTACATATTAAAAAAAAAGGTGGCATTTACATATGTGCCAGATAATTCCTATGTATTTACATATCTAACACCTAAACTTTAATATTTACATTCATAACACTCAAATACTAATTTTTATAAGTCAGTGCATCGCTATCCATAGGTTTATAGCATCAATATATTATATATGTAAAATATCAAGGTTTAGAAAATCGGACCGGGTTGGTCAGTCTGACCACGAACTGCTAGCTGGTGCGGTCCCAATCACATAACAAACTGTCCTATCTTCGAACCACTTAATACCGGCCGAACTACACGTTCACACACACGTAAGATATTTTAGGTGTAAAAATCAAAAGTTTCGATGTGAGATAAGTAAATGCAAAAGAATTGAGCGCTATCGTGAATTCCTAATTTTTTTTTTTTGGGAATGAGGTTAGCTCCTCTCAGGAAAGAGAGTCTGATGACCTTGTTATAGATGTATTCAAGAATTTAGATTATTATTTATTTATTTTAAAAAACTTGAAAAATTGTGATTGTATTTTATTTGTTTATTTATTTTCTTATATTCATAATATTATATTAATATGGTATTATTTAGGACTTAATTAATTAATTTGATATTTATTACATTATTCGGTTCAACCCTGGTTCAACTTGTAAGTCTTGAATCTTTCTTCTCTAGATTTGCTGTTCTGTCCGGTTTTGTAAATATCAAACTTGAGGATTTAGATATTTAAATCCATATGAATTGTGCGGTATGTATGCAAATTTCCTAAGAAAAAGAAGCTAGCACCATATAATGAAGTAACCAAATAAAATAAAATAAAATAAAATAACACACACACACATATACACTCTCACACACACACACACATACATAAGAAAGAGAACATTTTAACCTAACACTGAATATAAAACATCCCAAATGACCAAACAATAAAGCTATGGCTAATATAAAAAGGCCTTGACATAGATACAATGGCCAAACAATCCCATGATCTTTGATTTGGTCACTTCTTTTAAAAAGCTACCAACTCCAAAAAAAAAATAAAATGATTGATCCCCTTCATCACTAGTATAAACCAAATATGCTTCTGTGATTCGTATGAGTAATAATTTAGATGTTTTTTTATCACAAATTTGAGAAGGGAGTTGTAATGTTAATTAGGTCCCACATCTTAGTTGTTTTGTTAATCCCTCATTAATCTTCATTTTAATAGTTCATTGAGAAGAGAAACCCTATATGATGATGATTTTACATAGCTATTACAAATCTTCTTTCTAGTTTTAGATTCACTCATTTGAGTAGGTGGAACTATTTATAACTTTTGAAAATGATGTATTAACTATCTTAACCAATTTCTCCATAGCCTATGTCCATTTTATTTATTATACATTATTTTTTTTTTCCATTTAAAAGTTTTAATGATCTTAAAATTAAGGGATTTTAAGGTCTTTGGATTCTTCTATCTCGTTGTAAATATAAGCCTTCAATAAATTATAAAATTATAAATAAAATATTGAAAAAATAATAAATAAATTTATTGATATTTGATTGAATAATGATATTAAAATTAGGATATTGTAATCTTTTACTTTATTTTCTTCAAATAATTGATTTAATTATCTTACACATATTAGTAGACTTTATGTGCTAGACACATTATTTTTATGTATTTATGTATCTAATATTTTAAATTTTATATTTATTTAAATACTATTTTTATTTCTAAATCACATAAAAATATTAATATTCTAAGATGAAACAAAACTTTCATGCACTTTTTGATGTAGTTTAAGCACAGAAAACCTTATATAATTAAAAATTAAAAATTAAAAATTTCATATTTAATAAGTACATGCTATTTCAAGCTAAATACACCTCATTTGAAAATTGTGTTGTAGCAAAAATAAAATAAAACAATAAAAAATGAGATCTAAACCTAAACAACAACATCAACAAAACCTTTATCCCACTAAGTGGGGTTGGCTACATAAATCCTTTTTCTTCATTTCGTCCTATTTAGTGCCATATTTTCTTTTAATTCTAATAAATTAAGATCATTTTTTATACAACAATCATTATACAATATGCCCAAGTCTTCATATGTCTACCTCTACCTTTCTTAGCATAAGTGAAATCTAAAACATGTACTCTTCTAATCGGATCATCAAACGGTCGACGTTTACTGTGACCAAACCATCTAAGAAGACTTTCTAATTTTGTCCGTCACAGGAGCAACACCAACCCTATCATAGATATATTCATTTCACATAATGTCTCTAAGTATAAAGCCACTCATCCACCTAATCATTCTAATTTCGACAACACGTAACCTAGTTTTATGCTTATCTTTTAAAGGCCAACATGCAGCGCCATAGAGCATTACAAGTCTCATCACCATTTTATAAAATTTTCCTTTCAGTCTAAGCTGAACTTTTCTATCACACAATAGGCCCGAAGCATTCCTTCACTTCAACCAACTAACTTGAATTCTACTAATAACATCCCCATCAATATCACCATCACTTTGAATAGTAGGCCCGAGATCTAAATCTATACATAAAAAAAAAAAAAAAGATTTTTAATTTGCAATAAAGACTATAAATTCCTACTGTTTAAAGCCATTTTATAAAAGTTTGGTAAAGGGCAGGCTGTCATACATTAAATTGTTAGGTAATCAATTCATTTGGCAGAGAATGGCAAGCCTTTAATTTGAAGCATTACTCTTCCTTAGCTTTTGAGGAATTTGGTCCTTTCAAGGTTTGCATTTTAAAGTATAAATTTTTTTTTACATAATTGGGCTTCATGTGACATTTTTAACTTTCAAATTTGGTTGTTATTTTGGTTCATAATTTCAATATAGACCTGAGATGTGACACTATCCTATGTATTTACTTGCTTAATTTTTAGCAAAGGGGCATTTACATACATATCAAACAATTCTTATGTATTCGAGTATCTGACACCGATACTTGACATAAAAAACTAGCACAATTATCGACTTTTTAAAAGTAAAATACATATTTTCATGCATAAGTTTATGATACCAGCGTTGTAACTGCCAAATTTTATGCATCATATATGCGGTACGCATGTAAATTTTTGGGTTTGGGGGAATTTACATACATCCTATACAATTCTTAAAATATATATAATGGAAAGAAATTTATTTGCCATGCATTATCATAAATAAAACATCAAAAAAATAATCGATCATTTTATTTCATATGAGCAAAATGCATGATATGCATATATATCATATTATTCTTAAAATAATAATTTTAAGAAAATCCATAAATAAGATAATAATTCATATAAAATTTAATCAATTAGCACCTAAATTAAAACTAAGTCCACAATACTTAAAAGAGAGAGTCAAGCATTAGGCAAGAAGAACCATCAACCCAATAAAAGAATGCCACAAGCCAAATTAGAGAAATTTATAAAGACACCACACAATTCTTATGTATTTGCATGTCCAACATCTACATTTTCATCATATATATTTATGACTTCTTTCATAAACCTATGAATGAAAATAAAATAAGTAATAATGATATTTTTGAAGAGATAATATAAAATTGAGTGTTACATGTACAAATATAAAAACTATAGATGCTAGATATGTAAATACAAGATAATTGTGTGGTATATATATATAAATGCCTTATTAAATTATTGATATTTTTTTTAAGAGAATCAAATAAATAAAATGCTCAACTAATATATAGTTCGTGATTGTGCTCACATGCAATTTTAGGCTTAAATTACGTGTTTTTTTTTATATCATTAAAATTTTAATGGATCACCTCTCTAATTTATACTATATTATATTTTATATCAAGAAATAAGATTTTAAATGACGAAATTGAGAGAAAAATGTGAAAAAAATACACTTTCAGGCATTTGGCAAAATTATATTCTATCTAGTTTTTACAAAGATGTAATAAAAAGTTACATTTTGTAACAACACAGTTTTTCGAAAAATATCTCCTGCAAGATCAATTTCACGGTTGCTTCTTCAAACAACTGCAACTGACCGAAACAGATCCATTGCGGGTGAAAGTAGATGGATTTTGAATATTATAGATGGTATAACTTGAGTTTAACAGATCTAATCTCAAATATTAATAGATCATGTGACAATGACCTGTTCAAGCAAAATTATTGATGAATAATATTATTAGACCACGTGATAGTTAACTGTTCAATAAAATAGTAAGAGTTTTACAGACATACCGACATATTTACAAATCTAACACCTAAATTGTTATATTTACAAACATAACACTTAAATGTTTACCATCACATTAGAAATACAACAATTACACACTTTTTGAAAAAGAAATTCTCTTTTTCATGCGTAGTTTATCTCTCCAAAGTGTTATGGATGTATGTAAATAAGAAATGTGTGGCATGTAGGACAGAGATGTTTCTTGAATATGGACGAGTTTATGATTTGGTTGATCATTTAAAAAGAAGAGATAATCATGAAATCGTGGACTCCTAAATATGAATTTTTTAAAGGAATAATCATAAAATACAATATATATAAATATAATTTACAGGAGGGGAAAATCATTAGGCAAAACAACAAACAGGCACAAAACAATCAAAATATGCATTGAAGTAGGAAAAAAACAACATTTCATCCACTGATTGCAAAACCTGAGATAATGCCCGCCACAGTTTAGCTCCAAAATGATATAGCATTCAAGTTGCTGAAGTGAGAACAGAGCCGATATCAAGAATGAGCCGAAGAAGATAGCAGTGGAGTGCTTCGATCATCGCCGTCACCATCGTCGTCGCCGTTGTCATACTGTGACCGATCTTTAGAAACAAGAGGCGGGTCATTATAGGCGGTTTTCAGTCTATTGAAGAACTCGTTCATTTCCGGATCGTTTTGATCGCTTCGATCCTTTTTTATTAATGTCTGCAAACAAAACAGCCAGTTAGGGAAATATCAGTTCAGCTCATATCAAGAAGAAAGTTACCAGTAGAAGTTACTGTTCTTCATTCATGATTTATGCATAAGGAGTGGAAACATAATGATAGATATATTAGAAAATTTTTTAGCATAAAATTCATTGAAGATGATTCTTAAATTGATGCAATTTTAAATATGATATATTAGCAACCCTATGCAACAAGTTATCAGCCATTTTGATTCTAGAGTCTCTAAGTGTGATAAATGAACCCAAAAACTCTTTTATGGAGGACCATTTCAAACATTATTAAAAGAATCTGCAGACTAATTTGACACTTTCATAAACTCTAAAACTAAAAAGGCTCCAGTTGCAAAAATTCAATGGACTACTCTGATACTTTCTCATTCCCAAATAATGCAAAGTCAATTTTCTGCAACTTACTATAATAACATCACCCACATTTCTTAAATATGTTATTCATCCATCAATTAATTTTGTCATAAAGTTATTTAGAGATTCTCATTCATGTCATACTTGACTATGAAAGACTACATCCCCCCATACACAAATTCATATAGCACATTTCCGTTTTAAAAATAACACTTCTGCAAAAATAAAAAATCACTGTACTAGCTCTCAATCCAATGGAAATAACAATCACAAAAGATGAGTTTTTTCACAACCGATTTATGTAGCATTTTTTTTTTCATCACAGTAGAAGAAGATGGAGGTCTACGTTCTGAGGATGGATGTGTTACTAGGAGAAACCTTTGATGGCAGGTTAATTATGAATATAAAGGTGAGTACGGATCAAATAAGGAACTAAAATGAATAAATAAATAAACATTTTTGTTTAGGACTGTAAAAGAGCATTGAAACTTGAAAACAGTAGCAAACCTAATTAGGTTCAGTGAAGTCAGTTTTGCTCTGGTAAGTAAATTTATATAAATTGATTGATTTTGGCTAATGTTTAACGTTTTAGCAGCAGCAACAACAACAATAAGCCTTTATCCCAATGAGCGGAGTCGGCTACATAAATCCTTTTTCTCCATTGTGCCATATTGAGTCATATTTTCATTTAACAACAACAACAACAATAAGCCTTTATCCCATTAAGCGGGGTCGGCTACATGAATCCTTCTTCTAGATTGTGTCAAATTGAAAGTCATATTTTCATTTAATTTAATAGATTAAGATCATTATTGATAAAATATGCCCAAGTCTTTTTAGGTTCACCTCTGCATTTCTTAACATAAGTCTAGTCTAAAACATCTACTCTCATAACCAAATCATTAGATGGTCGACGTTTAATGTGACCAAACCATTTAGAACGACTCTAATTTTGTTAGCCACTGGAGCTACACCAACCCTATCACGAATAGATCCATTTCGCATTTTGTCTCTAAGTGTCATGCCGCTTATTCACCTAAGCATTTTCATCTCAGCAACGCTAACTTTGCTTTATACTTCTCTTTTAAAGGCCAACAATCTACGTCACAAGCATTGTAGATCTCACCACCATCTTATAAAATTTTCCTTTTCAAGTATGAGCCGCACTTTTTTATCACACAATAGACCCAATGAATTTCTTCACTTCAACCAACTTGAATTCTACTAATAACATCCCCATTTATATCACCATCACTTTGAACAATAGACCCGAGATATCTAAAACGCTCACACCATTTAATAATTTGATCACCTATAATTATAACTTTGCTACTAGAGCTATTACTACTAAAATTACTTTCCATGTATTCAGTTTTAGGTTGACTCAAACTAAAGTCTTTAGACTCCAATATAGACCTTCATAATTCAAGTTTTTTTCTTGAACTCTTTCTCTAATCTTATCCACAAGAAGGATATCATCAGCGAAAAGCATGCACCAAAGAACATCAAACCGAACCAAATCAAGTTAAGCATGAACTCTTTTGACTGCCTAAATAAAACATAAATGTGGATCAGTGATCAGAAAGACATGTCTTCGAAGCCAAAAATCAGTGTTGATTTACTTGTCTCTGGAACTCTAAAGGGCTCATAAATGGCACCAAGCCCATTTATGAAGTTCGAAGCCTCTAAAATGAGCCTTACCTTCATGTTTGACAGAAGAGTTCTTCAAATCAACATATGTTGGCATCTTCAGTTGGCCAAAACTATGCATAGTTGACCAAGGCATGTCCTGTTTGACCCACATTGTCTTAAGCACCTCAATTGCTCCATCATATATTCATTTGATTAGAATGACCTAAGAATCAATTGATTTGATCTAATAACTTCGATTAGTGCCCAATTGGCCCAAACCATATGGTGAAGGCAAAATTTAGCTCTATTGCAAACTTATGGCTTTCTGAGATTCAATGGATAAATCTAATTTGAAGTAACGATAGTTTGGGTTAGCCTATCTAGGCCTGATTGGTCCAATCCTAGTACATCACTATTATGGTTGGATGAGTGGTCTCCTCTATATAGAACATGTGTCCTGAGATGGTGAATTCATATTGGACAAGTACTCCAATACAAGCAAAGGATGAGTGCTGTAAGATGGATGAGACTATCCAAATATAGTCAATGAGAAGCAACTATAGAATACCAGCTTATCGAATATTGATAGCTACCCATAGGTTGGTTAATTGTCGAAAATGAAACAACAATCAAAAGCACTTGAGCTAAAATTTGGCCGGCTAGATATTTTTGTTGAGTGCTCATGCTGACTACTAGCAAGTTTTATCGAGCTTTGTTGTTGAGTTCTCACACTGAGTATTAGCTAAATACGTATTGTTATCAGAGTAGTAGATACTTCTTGATCAAGTTGAGTCAATCACTTCTTTTGGGTACCTCCTCACACCGAACCGATTAAGTTTAACTAACCAGTCCAATGAAATCAAGTGCAGATAAGTAACAAACTCGGCGAGAACAGCCTAGCAGCTAGGCTGCAAGAAAGGGATTCTGGCAGCTGGGATGGCAGCGAGTCGGCACGGAGGATGGTCTTGGACCATTGGAACAACAATGATAGGGCAGGGAAGTGCTAGAATAACAGCAAGGCTATAGGGACGCGGTTCAGGTGGCTAGAACAGCAGTCGACATCAAGGCAAGGGTTGTCCAAGGACTGCAGCAGTGAGGGGATGGTTGGAATTACTGCAGAGTTGGAGAAGGATAAATACCCCTTGAGAACGAGCTACAACCAGAGCACCACTGTATTTCTTGGAGGGAGATAACTACCTAGGATGAGTTACAACCAAGTCACCTTCTCGCTTTTAGATACAACCTTTGGAGGGGAAAATTGGATGTCGCCGTCTATACCGACACAAATCTAACCAAAGAACTGCTTTAAAACACAACACAATAGGAGGGAACACTATACTTAGAAGGACTGGCCAGTCCCTCCTTTGCTTGGACCGAATTGGTTCAGTGCCACTAGTGATGTTCGTCGCGACTGGGGCGAGAACAATGCCCTCATGTCACACAAACTCCTTGCTCATGAGATTTACGCTCCCTTCAATGACTTATCTATACTCTTCTTTTTCCTAAACGACAAAGGGAAGCATGCTCAAGCCTATGATGCTTTAGCTACCCTTTTTTAAACCATTGATCAACTTCATATGTCTACAATAAAATATAGATGAACAACTTTACCCTTGACTATGTCTTCAGTTTAAGATGATCAAGGTTTGTACATCAAGTAGTGTGGTTCATCTAGCCTTCAACTAACGGTACAGTTCACAAATGATAAGATTAAGTAACCCTAATCACACCTAAAGTGTATTAATTTGGTGCAACTATGGCCCTATGATGCAAGGAGAAGTGAATAAATTAGGAATAAGCACAATCCAACACCCAGCCCCCCAACACTCCTTCACAAAGCAACTTCCTTGTCACACAGTTGCGATAATAAACTTTTCTCCATAGTTACTAGAAAATTGTCAATAGCCCTCATGCTCAAGGGAGCAGGCAGTCTGGTTCACAACACATTTCACTCCCTCTCTAGTTTTAATCATTAGCCATGACCCATGCTACAACTTAAACTAAGGATGATTTTCCATGTGCTCAAGAGAGCAGTGCATTTAGTTCTCCATGATGACTCTCCCGTCTTTGCTGCCAAAAAGATCAACTTCTAGTTCCTTATTGTTACCTTGGTTTTACACACTTGGGGTTGACTACATGTTACTGGCTGACGGCCTCATTATTAAGAAATCCACCGATAAAACCGCACTTGTAACAATCGTATAACTATTGATGCTTTGGGTTATACCGTTAGGATGCTAATATCTTCAACAGAGATATATATATAAAAAAAAATAAAAAAAATAAAAAATAAAAAAAAAATCCTTCCAATGGCTCCCAAGTTTGAAAATGCTTCAAAATCAACGACCTAATAAACAAAATCCAAAAAAACTAAATATTCAAAAAAAAAAAAAGCTCTAAACTGTCAGTCCTATCAACCAACTATATTCATATTTAAATGTTTTGAGTCCTAAATGTAATCCTTTCACCAAGTCTCTCGCTACAGTCAACTTGGTCTCCCAGATTGTACTCGGGCACACTCCAAACCAATTGGCTAAGCAAGTTTGATATTTGTACTGCTAATCTTGATTTTAAACAAACTAGTTGGTTTCCATCGGTTCTCGCATGGGCCAACCGTAAACCGACACAAAGTGATTAGCTTAGCTATCAGAATCAACCAATCATCAGTTAAGGTAGCATCTTTTGCCTCCAAAACAAACCATCCAACAACTGCAGCATGCCCTACTCAATTTGATGGAATTAAAAAAATTAAAATTCATAAATCCATTATCCTTAAAAGTTCATAAAAAATAAAATATGAACGGAAAATTTATGAATTTTATATCATGAAATTGTAGAAAGATCCAACCTACCCAATATCATAAAAATCAATAAATTTTGTTGAAGGAAAAATATTCAATATTTTAATTATTAAAATTTTATACAATATTTCCTAAAGTTAATGGAAAGTTAATCCAGGCTTCCAGAAAATGATTGAAAAGAA